CCGCAGCGCACAAACGAGCCTTGCTCCAGGACTGAGGCGCCAAGACATGTAACAAACTTGTTATTCTAATAACCGACAAGGAGTTGGAGTGACCCTTTGTGCTCCCCCAGGCCCCATGCAGCAGGTAACCCCGTGTCCCGGGTTGAGCGCGACTCAGAGCACTGGGCGCCCCTCGTGTTTTACCTCTGTACAGAAGGGAGTAAGCTGAGGGTGCACCATCGGCTGCACATACATGTGAAAGGTGGATTCAATCTCCATCGTCCTGCCATTTAGCTTCAGAATGGGGAACTCAATGATTTCCTGCACAAGGCACAAAAGAAAACAGGTTGTTACAAAAAGGCAACAGCTGGCAAGAAAAGCTCTTTGGGTCCTGTCTTCAGACTGCACCAAGCACAATGGATCTAGCCCATATGGGGGCTCCGAGACACCACGGTCACAGAAACAACCCAGCACATCACCACTGTAAGAAGAGGCATCACACAGCTCTAAAAAGGAAAGAGCTAGGCCCAACGGGCACCGCCAGCAGGAGATTCACCCAGGAAGGAATAGGGATGTTACGTGGCAGGTAATCAGCTAATGGAGCAGTGGATGGAATTTCCATCAACTAGTCGATAAGGGGGGAAACTGCAGAGCTGCAGCAGGGTTATCTCCCAGCCCAGGTCCTAACCCTGCTGCATCTCTGACTTTTAAATGTATTACGAGCCACCAGAGCTCTTAATACATTTAAAAAGCAGACGCGCAGCGAGGCAGTGGGGAGGACCAGGAGTGAAGCCAGGACAGCTGATTCCTGGTCTCCACTGCTGTACCTCTGCTTTTTAAATGATGGCTCTTAATACATTTAAAAAGCAGGGGCATAAGCCAGGAATCAGCACTGTCTGATCATCCTTGGCAGGTGTCTGTCTAACCTGCTCTTACATATCTCCAGAGATGGAGATTCCACAACCTCCCCTAGGCAACTTATTCCAGTGTTTAAACACCCTGACAGGCAGGAAGTTTTTCCTAATGTCCACCCTAACCCACCCTTGCTGCAGTTTAAGCCCGTTGGTTTTTGTTCTGTCATCAGAGGTCAAGGAGAACAATTTTTCTCCCTCCTTGTGACACCCTTTTAGATACTCGAAAACTGCTATCATGTCCCCTCTCAGACTTCTCTTTTCCAAACTAAACAAACCCAATTCCTTCAGCCTTGCCTCCTAGCTCATGTTCTCTAGACCTTTCATCATTCTTGTTGATCTTCTCTGGACCTTCTCCAGTTTCTCCACATCTTTTCTGAAATGTGGTGCCCAGAGCTGGACACAAGACTCCAATTGAGGCCTAATCAGCACAGAGTAGAGCGGAAGAATGACTTCTCGTGTCTCGCTCACAACACTCCTGTTAAGGCAGCCCAGAATCAAGTTTGCTTTTTTTGCAACAGTGTCACACTGTTGACTCGTGTTTAGTAATACTTTCAGGAAAAAAATCCACGCAGACAGAGAACATCGGAATCTGGCAACCCTAGGGGCAGACAACAGTAAACAAAAAGTCTCACGAGCCACACACCGAACCCTAATGGGACACAGGTGGCCTGCGGACCGGAGATCGCCCACCACCGCAATACACAGATCCTTCTGTGATAAACCCGGCGCTTCCTCACCAATGCAACCTTTCTGGCTCGTTAGAGCTCTGCAGCAAATGCCAGTTTATTCCTTATAGTGAATTTATGCTGATAGAGAAATAGAAACGTTCTTCATCAGGAGAGAGTTCAATTACAGGAATAATCAGCAATCAAAAATTTACATGGGCCTGTTAATAAAAAGTTTAAACAAAGCCTGTTACGATGGATTTCTCAATTATTAAAAATATACATCTGAAATTAAAAGATCCACCCGCTGTATAAAGGCGATAAAATCCTTTGTGTTTGCCCCCCCTTCTCCCCCCAAGTTTAATGCAAGAGAAGTGACAATTTGTTTGGTGTCTTTAAAGAATAATTTGTCTCTGTGTTTAATAGAGATGCATGGCACCAGGGCTCTGGAGTGCAAATGAGCCCATTGAGTGATAACCACGCACCAAGGCTCTCAAATCACTGGGGGGAGAGGAGGGGGAAAAGCAGGAGAGAGAGAGAGAATAAAAAAATATTGCGTTTTAATATTCAAAAACAGTTTGCAAAATTTAATCAAAGCACAGCAAAAGCTAACATTTTTACCACTTTGACATTTTTATTAGCGCTTTCATAAATTTTTAAAACATGAATGGAATTAGTTTAACAACAAAAAACTGCCTGAAAACATCTGGAAGAGACAAATAAGAAGGAATACAAAATAAATAAATAAAAAGCAACTCTCGTGAATAAAATTAGCATGTGCCAACCACAGCCACTGCAGAGCGGCTACGGTAGCTTTCAGAGCCCTGACTGCAACCCCAGGGACCCAGGCCTGGAAATCTCTGTGAGGTCATCCTCTCGTATCTATGACATCACCGCTGGCTTAAGCCAAAGGGAGAAAGAAGGGGGGTGAGGGGAGAAAGAAACCACCGCCCAACACAGACCAGGGATGTAAGCAACTAGTCCATTCAACTAATCCCCCCGTTCCTGCTGCCTCTATCAGAGAGAGGCAGGAGGGGCGGCTCCCCCCAGCACCATCTCCATGAGGGGGGTAGGGGCGCAGCGGGGAACTAGCAGCGCTTCCGCCTTGGAAACGTAGCAAGAGCCCCGTCCCTGGTACATTTCAAAAGCAGAAGCGCCGCAGGAGCAGGGACGAGCGGGGGCACTCAAGCAGTCCCCCACCGGCCCCATGCTCCCCACGGTGCTCCCGCCTTTGTAATGTAGCAACAACCGGCAGGGCTCTTACTGCATTTCCAAGGCGCAGGTGCCCTGATTGACTAATCGAACAGTCGATGCAAATTGCATCGACTATTCAATTAGTTCATTAATCTAAATTTAACATCCTTAACACCGACATCCACTTCGCATTGTATACCCAAATACGCTACTACAGCATGGATGGCCCCTGATGGTTCCTGATTCAAGGATGGGGGCAGACGGTGTCGAGAGAATAGAAAGGGGTGGGCAGAAAGTGTGGGCAAGGCATGACAACTGAAGAAGAAATAAGCACAACATTTATCCTCAGTGCAAAGTTAAGGTGGAGAAATCAAGTAGCAGGAAATGCCAAAGCAATTGGCTCACCCACCACGCTAAGCCTGCCCCATGCCACGCCTTACCAACAAGCACTGCAGCGGGAGGCACTTTGTTTCCTGACTGTGGCGTGCACGATTTCTCTGCCTCGGCCCTGAGTGAAGGCTTAACGTTTCTCTGCTCCAGATCATTAGTAGATACGCAGCAGGTACTTCACAAAGGTCCCATGCACCATGCAGACCTAGCCCCATTGTAAATCTGATCGCACCAAACTCAGCCGCAATAGAGCGCGCTCAGACTAGGAAACAGGGCTTCGTTCTTCCCCCTTGTGTAACTCTGGAACGGCTGAACGCGTCTGGCTCGACCTCTTCCGCTATACCGTCTGCGCAGAGCAGACACCGAGCCCTGCGCGCTCCAGCTCAGGAGGAGAGCGTTCTAGAAAGCACGACAAGGGAGTTGCAATGGAAGCATCTTGTAGCCTTCGCTAAAAAGAGGGCTAGCTAGCAGCTACTGCTCTCCTACTTCCCAGCCGTCCATTCTCAAGCTTAAGGACCCATTCATCCTTCCAGGGGCTGATCCCTTTGACACCACTGACTTCAACAGGTGCTGAGGAAGCCCGCACCTTCTGGGGCTGGGCTCCACAGAAGGCACGCCTGTCCAAAAGGATACCTCCATCACAGGTTGAAGCGAAAAGAACTTGCTCTTCTCCCGGATGGAGAGAGAGCCACCGTTTTTGTGTTGCAATACAGAGAGCTATCCAGAGGGAACGGACCCCGAGGGGCCCTCCAAGCACCAGGAGCCGAAGAGGGGCTGAAAAGAGAACCCAAGCATCTGATGCACAAGGGTGTTTGTCATTTGCTTCCAGACTAGAAGCAAAAAAGAGTTTCAGGAGGGCCAGATGAAAACAGACTGGGAGAATAAAAAGCTGACGGAGAAAGCTGGGAAATGTAATGCTATCAAGAATTAACACGCGTCTATGACAAGCACATGATCACAGAGAAAAAAAACGAGCAACGTAGCTGGTTTTTTTTGGGAGAAAGAAAGGGGAGTGGGGGGTGCTTCTTTGGTCAGCTTTTAAAAGGTGTGGCAAGGACCTTCCCAAAGGCTGTTTATCCGAACGCTCCCTAGAGTAGAGATTTTTCCAGTCTCTGGCAATGTTTGCTCCGCTGGTATCTAAGGCAACAGATCCCAGCCCCATGAAATCAGCTCCAGTCCTTCACTAACAACATTAGCCAGTCCTGTGATGAAATGTAACCTGTGACACCACTGTACTTTTCATTTAAACTTTCATTGGCAGAGAAGCAGTGTTTGGAAACCCTGCAACTTGTCCCACTAATAAAGACAAGTGTTGGGACCTTTAAAAGTGCCATTCATCTTTTGCCTTTATTAAATTCAATTTTCTTAAGCCCATGATGCATCATGAAATTAGGATTTGACATTCCTGCGGAAACAAAAATATCTATCAAACATAAATGGGGAAAAGACCTCTATTACCAAGAACGTATGGCTTAAAGTTGATCTGTTTGCACTTTTGAAAAACAAAGCAAGCAAGCAAATGGTTTGTTTTAGATATCCACAATGTTATTACAGATCTAGAATTTCATTAGTAATTATTACGAAACAGTGAGTCAAATCTCTCTCCACCCCACAGACTGCAATTCAGAAAGGCAGCTAGACACTTGGTCACTCTCACAAGTGGCCTAAGGCCTTGTCTACACTGGCACATTTTGAGGCCAAAAACTGCCTTTTGACGACAAAACAGTGAGAGCATTTACACTGCAAAAAACAGCCAGTCTGGGAACAAAAAGCTTCCACCTCTGCAAGAGACTTTTGTCTTTTCCCCTCCCTTTACTGTCAACAAAGAGCCAGTGTGGACTCTCTTGTTTGTTTTGTCAAGAGAACTGGCTTCTACCAGTGTCCCACAATGCCTGCCCTGATGTCTGTGCTCACTGTTTTGTGATCTTTGCTGCCCTGCAGGCATGCAAACCCTCCCCTTTCAAAGCTATGGGAAGTGCCTGACAACTGAGTGAGCTGCTCTGTTTGGGGAACAAACCAAGAGCAAATCATTGGACTGCTCCTGTTCTGCCCTGCTAGGAACAGAGCAGCAGGCAGACTGCTGCTGCAGGGGGAGGGCCAGAGAGACTACTGTGCTGCTTTGACATTCCTCAGCATGGAGTACTCCCAGATCTGGGAG